GGGGGGGGGGGACTTTGGACTCTAGGGTGTCGTTCCCAAAATGGCTAAATACATGGCTCATGCTGCATTTAGTAGTCATTGGTTACCTGGTTGCAATGTTGTCCGTCTGATGGTTGATCACACGATCTTTCGTGATGATAACTTTGTTTTTCTTGTTCAATACTAATAATAAGTACCTTATACTGAAACACCCTAATAGAGGAAACCCTATGGGAAACCACTAACAAAAAAAAAAACTATAGGAAGGCACAGTTATGGATTCCTGACGCAGGAATGCGCCGAAAACATTATTTTGCTTAATGATACACAAATGATAAATTTAGAATTTTTTTTTAGCAGAACTGGAAAGAGCGATGATATTTTTGTTTTCATGTTCCATAGTATGGATTGAAATATAGTTATGAGAGTGATTTTTAACACCAAAAAGCCGGGCCATCCTATAAAAGTTCTAGGAACGTTGCCAACCCTATACTTTTTGCGTACGGTTAAATTGGAATACATGTATACAAAGTTTCTCTCACCACTCATTTGCAACGCAGGAGAAGCTATGGATCACCCACGTCGTGCTTGTACATCGCGGAAGGGGCCCTTGCAGGACCTAGCGGACGATGACAGCAGTCGCAGCGACTCCGACGCTAGCTGGGGCGTCAACTCAGCAGACGCTAGTGTCTCCAGCGCGAGCGTCGACGACTCAAGCCCAAGCGACACGTCAGAGAGCAGAACGAGTAGTGATCACAGCGCAGGGGGAGGCTATTCCGTCACCAGCCCCGACCTTTCGAAGACAGAGTTCGAGTCGTGGGAGGATTTTCACGGGTATCTGGACCTGTATCAGAAGGAAGCGTTCCAGGTAAACAACGCACACATTATTCGTATGTATTCTCTGTATTAACGACTGGTTATGTATGTCCTACAGGTGCTCTACGAAAAGCGTGGCGGAGAGGAACAAGCAGATTGACAGTGCCAAGAAATCTTCATCGGAGATCATACCACCGGACTGGGGGACCTACGCCAAGACGATCATCTGTACCCATGGAGGCAAGCACCGGTACCGCGGCAAAGGGAAAAGACCTCGACAGGAAGTACGGCCTATGGGATGCATGACACAGGTATGTATCTAGGTGATCGTTGACGTGACATGCGTCCCACTGCGGTCGGTGGCAGTTATGGATGCAGATGGTGGCGCATTCGGTTGCAGTCGGTGTTGAAGAGTTACAGACTGACATTTATGTGTGCTTTCTAATATCCTGTTATTCTATTCAGATTAACGTGTGTGTGCAATTGGTAAGTGAGCAACCTTCCAAGTTTGCAGTGTGTGTGTCGAAGACTGCCCTCACGCACAACCACAAGTTGGGTCTACGATCCTACAAGCACTACGCGGCTAATCGCATGTCAGTGAATGGCGAAGTGCTGGAAACAGTTGACTCGCTGTGGAAAGCTGGTGCCAAGACGAAGAGTATTCTGAAATTCATTGTTGAGAACTCAGACAGCAACCCCACTCCACAAGATGCGCAAAACCTGATTCGCAACATGAAAAAGCGTGCGCAAGGCGGGATGACGCGCTCACATCGTATAAAAAGTGGATGTTGGACTTTTGCGCGGTTCCTGGCAACTTGGGTCGTATATTTGTGGACTCGTCCAACGAAAAGGTTTGAACTATATTACAATCCCACATTAGTTGTTTTTATTTGGAGTATTATTCTAAAAGCTATGCTCTTTGCTTATAGAGAATCGCAACTTGCATTACGCTCCAAACAAAACACATTGTGGATATATTCAACAGATTCCCAGTGGCGTTGATGATTGATGCCACAGACGACACAAATTACTCCAAGTATAAGATTTTCTCGTTTATGGCGCATGACGTTTTCGGGAAGGGACAATACTGTGGTGAAGTGACAGTTGGCTTCTGGGGACAAGGGACTGATTGATGGAATGCGACCCGATCCAGTTCGGAGACTCGTGGTCGACGACGGCGCGTCAGTGATTACGTCATCATATGTGAAGATTTCGTAATAATTGTAGTGGATCGACATAGTGCAATCATTTGGACACGCGATCTCCCTCAAGGACACGATCTACTGTGGGCATATCAACTGATTTGTACCCATGGTAAGTCGACCAGGCTACAGAGGGTATAGAAAGGGCATCATAGGATGGGCAGAAGGTATTGGACCGCTTGGACTTAAAGGAATAACAGTGGAATTTGCCTTATCAA